ACAAGAAGCAGAAGGTGAACAGGAAGAAGAAGCAGAAGGTGAACAGGAAGAAGAATCCGAAAGCGAATCTGACGAAGAAAAAACTAAGCCCATAATGCCGCCCAAACTGGATCTTAGCTTGGCAATCCGCGTCGTGGATAAATACGACGGGGATGCAGCCACGCTACAATCCTGGTTGGATAGCGTGCAGGTTCTTCGGGAGGACGATCCTACCGTCCCGGAGGCCAATTTTATTAATTTTTTGAAATCGCGGTTAATTGGTGCCGCGAGGGGATCCATTGATGGAACCCAAACACTGGCAGATGCGACAACTGCCTTGAAAACAAAGTTCGCAATTCAACTTACACCTATTGCGGTGGAGGCTGAATTACGAGCTTTGAAGCAAAAGAACAAAACAGTGACGGATTTTGGCAGCGAGGTAGAAAAGCTCGCTACCAAATTAGCGTCCGCATGGGTTTCGAAGGGTGTGCCCTTCACCACTGAGGCCTCAGCGAAGCCAGTAGTGGAACCCATAGCAGTGCAAACCTTCATAAACGGTCTTAAGGATCAATCAGCAGCTTACCTAGTGAAATCTAGGAATCCAAAGACGTTGACTGCTGCTATTTCGGATGCATTGGAGGTGCAACCTCATGCATCCGCTGAGTCCGCAATGTGGGCTCAGGGGGGTTATCAACCTCCATTTTTCAACAGGGGAAACCGTAGAGGTAACCACCGCGGAGGCCGTGGTAACAATTACCATGGTAATCGTGGCGGTAACCGAAACTACGACGGGAATGGTCGCAACAATCGACCGCATCAAAACAACAATGGTTATCGGGGTAACCAAAATAATCAAGGTTACCGTGACGACCATGGAAACAATCGAAATCAGAATCACAACCGTGGTGGATATCACGGAAATAACAACAATAATAGCAGTAACAACAACAGCAACAACAACAGTAACCGCAGAAGAAATGCGAACGTGGCTGAAGAACCACAGCCGTCGCAACAGCAACAACCCCGAGAAGAAGCAAACGTAGGGGAGTTTTTTCGCTAATTCGATCAATACTAATAGAGCATTACGGTTAGATTTTCTAATCGATGCCAAAAATTTTAAGTTGATAGTGGACAGTGGTGCATCATGCTGTCTCATAGATCAACGTTATTTAACAAAAAAATTGAACAGATGCATTGATCCATCCCGTACCATAGAGGTGTATGGTATAAATGGAATTACCAACACCTTGGGAGCGGTTGATACTTATTTGGAATATAAACAGTTAGTATATCCTATAACTTTTCACGTGGTAGATCATTTACCAACCAGTGTAATTGGTCTAATCGGCACAAATTTTTTGAAAAAATTTGGTGCGAAAATCGATTTTGAACATTCTACGCTATCGCTAAGAGCGCCTCGATATGAGGAAAACTTCATAGTATCTCCCAGAACAGAAGTCGTTACCTTCATAGACACCCGGTATTCCAAACCGTTGGTGATTTTGAATGAGGAAATAAAGCCTCATATTTTTATTGCGGGTGCAATTGTGCAACCGGTGCAGGGAAAGATCCCTGTCCGTATGATGAACGTTAAAAATAAGCCTGTAAAAATTGAGAATTTAACCATTTCAACAAAGCCTTTCGAAAACTATGATGTCATAGAAATCGAAAGCGCTTCCAAGCATAATGATGCGAGAGTGGGCGAGCTTTTATCGGAGTTGAACCTTGATGGGATCAACCCGAAAGACCAGCCAGTTATTCAAAAGCTGTGCATGAAATATAACGATATTTTTTGTCTGAAGAATGACAAATTATCGGTGACAAGAATTTACCAGCCATCACTCACGGTAAAGCCAGATGTACACCCAGTGTACACCAGGCCTTACAAATTACCACAAGCCCAAAAGGAGGAAGTCCAAAGGCAAGTGGATAAAATGATCGATGAAGGGATCATTGAAGACGCCGTTTCAGAATGGAACAGCCCGTTGTTGCTAGTTCCAAAGAAATCGACCGATGATAAAAGAAAATGGCGATTAGTTATTGACTATCGCAAGCTCAACAACGCACTGCAAGACGACAAATTTCCACTTCCTAACATAGAAGAGGTAATTGAGTCGTTAGCCGGAGCGAAATATTTTTCGCATCTGGATCTATCTCAGGGTTACTACCAGTGTGAGTTAAGACCTGAAGATAGATCGGTGACAGCTTTTAGTACTAATAGGGGTCAGTACCAAATGACTCGTCTCCCTATGGGACTAAAAGTAAGCCCTTCAACATTTTCCAGACTAATGACCGTAGCAATGTCAGGTCTCAACATGGAAAAGTGCCTTGTATATCTGGATGACATAATCATCTTTGGAAAAACTTTAGAGGAACACAATAAAAACCTCGCGGAAGTTTTTGAAAGGTTAAGACATACCAACCTAAAACTAAATCCGCAAAAGTGTAATTTTTTAAAGACCGAGTTATTATATTTGGGTCATCTAGTATCTGTCGAAGGAATTAAGCCAGATCCTTCGAAGATCGAAATCATAAAAAGGTGGAGTAGTCCTCAAACAGCCGACGAAGTAAAGCGCTTCGTAGCGTTTGCGAACTACTACCGCAAACACATAAAGGATTTTGCCAAATTATGCAGTCCTTTGAATAAACTAACGCGGAAAAATGTGGAGTTCGTCTGGACAGACGAGTGTGAACACTCCTTCCAGTTTCTGAAGGAATGCTTCATGAACCCGCCTGTCCTTGACTACCCTGATTTTTCCCCGTCAAACATTTTTACTTTGCATACAGATGCATCAGGTAAGGCATTGGGTGCAGTCCTAAGCAACCAAAATGCTAGGCCAGTTGCATTTGCAAGCAAAGCCCTGAACAGTGCTGAAAAGAATTACAGCACCATTGAAAAAGAACTTTTGGGTCTAGTCTGGGCGATTCGACATTTTCGACCATATCTGTATGGTAGAAAATTCGAATTGTATACAGACCACAGACCGCTAGTATATTTATTTACATTAACTGACCCTTCGAGCAGACTGACCAAGTTTCGTCTCGCTCTGGAGGAGTATAAGTTTGACGTAATGTACAAAAAGGGCACGGAAAATGTGGTAGCGGACGCGTTATCACGAATTTCCGTAGAAGATTTGAAAGCTCTCACACCGCAGACTGGTTTGGTGTGTACAAGAGCTCAAGCCAAGAAACAGCAGGCGTCAGATGAACTAAAGGCAGGAGATGAGAAAGAAAAACTTAACTACATAGAAATACAAATTGGGCCCAAAAACAGCGACAAAAATAGCCAAGCTACAGAAACAACAATTGATGAGCAACTGAAGAAAGGAGTTCTCTCTATCGAGCCTAATACGTCATTAACTCACCTACGGGGAGTGATGAAACGATTAGTGGACTTCGCGAGAGCAACTAAAATTATAGGCCTTACACTGAAATGTTCGAACGAAGCAAAATCGTTGAGGGAAAAGATTGAAGCCCTCCAAGTTAGTGGCATGCCACCTATTTTTATAATAGGAAAGAAAATCACGGAAATTACGAACAAAAAAGACCAACAGGTTGTAATAAACGATTTCCACGTATTGCCAACTGCAGGGCATGCGGGAATCAAGAGAACAACCAACACCATCAAACAGCGATATCACTGGAAGTCCATGGATAGTGATATCGCATCCTTTATCAAAAATTGTCCTCAATGCCAAAAGAACAAAAGCCAAAATACTAGACAACCAATGCAGTTGACTAGTACGGCCAGTTCGGCGTTCGAGAAAATTTTCTTGGACCTTGTAGGTCCTCTTCTACCAGACGCGCAAGGGAATCAATATATTTTGACAACCCAATGCGATTTAACCAAATACATTACGGCAACACCAATTTTGGACAAATCGGCAGATGCTGTGGCCAAAGCATTCGTCGATAATGTCATTTTAAATTACGGTGTTCCAACGCAAATCTTAACAGATAGAGGGACAGAATTTATGTCTGCTCTATTTGTTAAAATATGTAATCAACTAAAGGTAGAGAAGTTGAACTCTACCGCCTATCATCACCAAACAATCGGATCGTTGGAAAATTCCCACAAAGTCTTGGGAAATTTTCTTCGTATCCAAACGGGAAACTCATACGGAAATTGGTCTGCCTGGGTACCGTATTATAAGTTCGCTTATAATACAACGGTACATAGTGCAACGGGCAAGACTCCATATGAACTAGTATTTGGGAAGCTTTGAACACTTCCATCAAACCTAACAGAACAGAATGAGACCGACCCTGTCTACAATGTAGACGATTATGCTAGTATTTTGAAATTCCAGTTGCAAAAGTCCCAAATAGAAGCTAGAAAAAGTCTTCTGAAAGGGAAAGCAACTAGGGTAGAAAAGAACAAGCAAGGATGTAGAGACAAAATTTTCGCAAAGGGACAACAGGTCCTGGTAAAGAGAGAAGTGGGGTCTAAATTGGAGCCTAAATATGAAGGGCCATATCAGGTCCTTGAGGAGTTAGGTTCCAATATAAAGATCCAAATAGGGAATAACACGGATATCATTCATAAGGATAGGATTAAAATTTTTTTTAACTCGAAATAGTTTCTTAATGTGGAAACAACAATACCGAAAAAAAAAAAAAAAAAAAAAAAAAAAAAAGAGAAAGATATTGCAAACACATTTTTATAACTAATACATCTATATTACAATTATATACAATTATTTTACACACATTTATATAGTAGACACAGTTATATTATACAAGTTTGGTACCAAAACACATCATAAATAATTCAAAAACATATTACAAACACATTTTCATAACTAATACATCTATATTACAATTATATACAATTATGTTACACACATTTATATAGTAAAACAATTATATTATACAATCTTGATACAAAAAAAAAAAACTCAACATAAATAATTCAAAAACAATTTAAAAACTTATTCTGTTGAATAAATTTTTAAATTTCATTCGGATAGGGCGTGTGGTGGATACGGCCCTGCGCAAGCAATGCGCAGACGGACGATAAAATGTATGTAAACAAAAAGATCAGCATAAACGCGATCACGCCACTCGGGCAGCGAACGCAGTTTGTGCTGATCCAGCAGAAAGGGTCACGTCCGCCACCGCTAGGTAGGTTAAGTTAGCATAAGAGAGAAGTAATAAAATGATTCTTAGTTCTGACACGGAGGCGAGCAGTTGAGTTGATTTTATCATACCGAAAGCCAAGTGGCTAATACTAACAGATAGAGGGACAACTTTTCATAGGATTCAAAATGTGCAAAAACTAAACTCACCGAACATTAAATCTCGCGCGATCGAGGCCATCAAGACTTGAGGATCTCATTAAGCAGTTTAATGGTTAATGTAGGTACATACCAATACAAAACTTGTCAAACAAGACAATATTTTTGGCCACCTACTTATATGGAGATAACCCATAGTGCGTTGGTTGCCGACTCGTAACAGCCACCGTTGATGAAATCTATTGTTTTTGGCAGAAGGAGATGTGTAATGAAATGTTTTTGGTCGCCTAAAAAAGGAAATTGTATGTCACTTCAATTTAAAGTACAATTGCTTTTACTATCTTCAAACACACCAACGCTCTAATGGGGGAGTATCAAAAAATCTGTGAAGCAATGCATAAGATACAGGAAACACATGACACACTGAATGTATAATCCCTTATGATTCTGAACGCTTGAAATGTTATTCGTCGTACAATGGGTGCTGGTTGGAAGTAATGATTGAAACCTTCCAGGCAGGACGTTCATTCAGAATGGTTTTTATGCTGTCATTTTCCTGCAGATGTTTAATTTCAAGTAGCAGTCATTATCGTCGTCGTAGACGCAACCGTCGTAGACGCGACCGTCGAGATTGAACGATAATTTCTGAGCATGAGCATGAGCATGAGCATGATTGACAGCCCACGGTTGCCACTCTGTTATTGCCTGATCAGCTGTAATTACACAGAGAACCAATAGACGATGCTTGGAACTAGCAATCATCCTCAATGTGTAAAAACTGGTGATCTCAAACTAGGCAATACCAGCGCCGGCCGCGCCTGGACACAGGTCAAGAAAGGAATTGGGTAGGAATGTGTTGTCGTGACACTCGCTTTATTGGAAGCCGAGAACACCTCTGCACCTCCACGAGGAATCACTGGGATGTTGGGTAAGAGGGTTGGGTTTGCAGCAGGACTCGTTTTGGTAAACGATAAGCTGAATTGATGTCTGAACGATCATATAACGCGAACGAGCTTGGGATAGAACCTACGGTCTTCTGCTCATTAAGCAAAAACGTTTGCCACTAGACAAACGAGCTCCTTTTAGTCGTCGAGTTTCTGTTATTACCATGTATAAAAAAATGATGATGGTCCCACCTCTTACCCCTACAAAGGTTTGAGCTGGACGATTTATCTCTAAGATAATTGAATATGACATTTTAACCAGGTTGGCAAACAAAATCGAACTGGTTTCAGTTACAGATATAAATTCCCTCTAGAGTTTACAATTGCTTCACAGCGATATAAATGTGGAAAAGCTCAGGCGTCCACCTCTTAGTTCGCCTTTTTCTCCACCTAAAATATTCATAAGTATTACAAGCAATCAAGAGTTAATGAACAATCAACAAAGCATCCTATTACAGTAGCAACCCCGCAATCTGATGCTATTATAATTTTCAGCAATGTCAGGAATGCTCATGAACCTCTAACATTTGCCAGAAAACTTATTACTAACTCAAGGCATCTTTCAAATAAGCTTCAAAATTGCATTTTTTTTTATCAAATGTCCTCTATATCCGAAATACGCGCGCGAGGCTCAAACCTTTGTAGACTACTTTTTTTTAAATTAATCTACTATTAAATCAAATATTAAAAATCCATCATCACCCTCGTGGCGAACAGAAATAGTTTTTGCAGTGCTACAATAATTATTAAAAAGTCGTTATGACAGATCCATATAAAATAATCCGTTAGAGATAACTTCGTCAAGATACATAATTTGTCAATTCATAAACAAAATCACTGGATAACTGTTCAAAATACAGTTTTAACGTGTGAAATGCAGTGTCTTTTAAATTCTGTAAGTGTTGCTAAACATTTGATATGTCTAGGCATCGAATTGAAAACATTTATTCCTTTATAATATAATGAATATTGTGAAGCACAAGTCAAGAAATGTGGAGTTCTTATTTCAACCGCGTTTCTAGTATTATATCTATGAAAGTCACTTCCTCTTTCAATTCGATCACACAAATATCGAGGCAGCAAACCGTTAACTACTTTAAAAATGAACACCATAGTCAAATATACAATTCTTTGCTTCACCGACAACCATTGTAATGCATCTAGCATCAAAGTTGAGGAAGTGAATCTATTACATCTCAAAATCAAACACATTATTTTATTCTGCAAGCGCTGTTATCTCGATATTTGTGTTGCTTTGGCCAGAAATAAAATGGAAGGGCAAAAGTCAATATGAGGAGAGATGATTGATTTGTATAGCTGTATTTTACTGGCAATAGTTAAATCGACATAGAATTCCATACTTCTTGGAAATTTTCTTGATGACATTGTCAATTTGAGAGTTGAACTTAAGTGTGTCATCAATAATCACGCCAAGATATTTAATCTCCCGAACGCGAACAACAGTCTCATCATCAATTACAACAGAGACGTTCTCATTTACTCGATTCCGCGAAATTACCATAAATTTATTCAAATCTTCATTCAAGTGTAAAACGGCATCATCTAAATCCATAGCTGCAATGAATAACACAGTATCATCTGCAAAAAGATGAATGTCGCAAAATCGTAAAACACGTCGCAAGTCATTAATATACATAATAAATAACAGGGGAAGTGTATTATCCCTGGGGCACTCCAAGGGTATTCCCCACGGGACTAGAAACAGAATCATTAAAAACAGTCCGTTGAGTTCTGTCAGACAAATAGCTTTCAAACCATTTATATGCATTACTCGTAATTCCAAAGCGCTTGATTGATCTTAACAATAAGGGCCTAGAAATTATTTCAAATGCGCGTTTAAGATCCAAAAAAACAGCAACAATCGTATCTTTACACTCCAAGTTATTTTTCCACTTCGCTAATACCAAATTCAACGCGGTTTCATAAGAATGACCTTCCTGATATCCCGATTGTTCTGGTATCAACAAACTATTACTATTTAAATACTCCAACAGCTGGCCTTTAACAACAAGTTCTAAAATTTTCTCTAATGTGTGCAACATGTTGATGGGACGAAACTCTTCGGCTTTAATCGTTCCAGCAACTTTTTGAATAGGGACCACTAAGGATTCCTTCCAAATTTGTGGCACATGTCCAGTTTGTAATGATTCATTAATAAGGTCCAGCAAGCTATTAACAAACAAAACGATTGACAAATCTTGAATGCGGATGGGTTTGAGATTAGACTCACGATGTTCTGCTTAGTAAGCAAAAACGGTCACTCTTAGGCCACCGAGCCCTTCATATCGCATCGTTACAATCCGTGGATACAGAAGGAGTTATTGTTGGTTGGGAAAATTCACGTTTTGTTAAACCTAAAACAGTAGACACACACAAGAGCGAAAGGGTTTGTGCCGCTGCAAAGAACAAGAACGTTACTGAATGGAGAAAAAAAAACTATTATACAACAAATGGTTGTGCGAAAAGAGGGAGAATGATAATTATTGGAGATATTGGAGAGGCCATCTTGCAGTGGAAGATTGACCACAAACCAACAGGCGTCCGTGTGCAAATGACCGGTATTTTTAAGTGCAGTGCCATTTAGTGTACCCCCCCCCCCCTTGTGGGGTTTCTGGAATGTTGGACTGCCTCCGTTCAGGACCTCGTACCGTAAATAAAACGGTCTTACACAGTTTGTGGTAGAGCTTGCTGCAAACTGTCTTCTAAAGGGCGAACACGAAATTATTGCGACACATTCAACAGGGCATAACTTTTTTACCATTGCGTAAATATCAACCAAATTTTGCACACTTTCTCATTGATGTGTATTGTGTACAAGCTGTCAAACTCGAAGTCGTGTTTTTCGATTCAACGAAAATGGAGGTGAACCAACGCGAGTTGAGAGAACAAATTCTTTCCAAACACCTGGAATTTCCTGACCTGTCGCACCGGCAGTTGTGAAAAATGTTGAACATTCACCATTCAACCGCCTCCAGAGTGTTGAAGCGGTTCCATGAGTGGTTGACGTTGGAACACGGCAAAGGAGCTGGAAGAAAACGGGGACCGGAGAACAAAAAGACGGAGGGAAAGGTGAAGCGGATGATTAAAGCAAATCCCAACGTCTCAAGCCGTGATTTGGCTAAAAAGATCGGCATGTCGCAGAGCTACGTCCAGAATGCAAAGAAGAGAGCTGGACTACATACATACAAGGTACAGAACTTCCCAAACCGCGATGAGCGGCAACAATCGACGGCTAAAACTCGGGCACGGAAGCTCTACGAGAAGATGCTGACAAAATATGGCTGCTGTGTGATGGACGACGAAACGTATATAAAAGCCGATTTTAAGCAAATTCCGGGGTTGGAGTTTTTCACCGGCAAGAGCAAGTTCGATGTGGACGACAAATTTAAGAAGAAGAAAATGTCGAAGTTCGCCTCCAAATATCTCATTTGGCAGGCCATCTGCTCTTGCGGACTGAGGAGTGAGCCTTTCGTGACAAAGGGCACAGTAAATGGCGAGATCTACAAAGCTGAGTGCCTCGAGAAGCGCCTTTTGCCGTTCTTGCAGCAGCACGACGAAGCTCCGCTATTTTGGCCAGATTTGGCATCATGCCACTATTCTAAAAGTGTCCTGGAGTGGTATGAGGCCAATTCTGTCCATTTTGTTCCAAAGGACATGAATCCGCCAAACTGTCCGGAGCTGCGCCCGGTGGAGCAGTACTGGGCAATAATGAAGCGGGAACTTCGGAAGAGCAAGAAGACAGTCAAAGACGAGAAGGACATGTTAAGAAAATGGAAAAAAAAAACTGAGAAACTGGTACCGGATGACACTGTAAAGACTTTGATGGAGGGCATCAAGCGAAAATGCGTTCAATTTTACACTCAAGGCTCCATCGATTAACTTTTCTTTTGATTTTTGAAGTAAATATACAGCAATTCCATAGAAAAAAGTTATAGTGGGTCTCAGAATTTCATGAAAATTAGTATAGTTCTTCCTTATCAAAAAATATTAGACTGATATTTTTTTTATTGCGCCATTAGGGTGACCATTTCCGTGTTAGGGTGGTCCAAAAAATCATTTTTTTTCAAAAATGTCTTTTTTCAAAAATTTATAACTTCTGAACCTCTTGACCGATTTTTACGATTGACCCTTCAAATGAAAGAAATTTTAATGTAGTTTTAAGAAAAATTATGAAACACTCAGAGATATTTGATTTTGTAGGAAAAAAATATGGTACAAATGCTTTTTCTTGATTTTCACTGCGAGGGTCTTCAACAACTTCATATTTTAGTATTTTTAATTGAAAGATCATTTAATTTTACATAACATATCAAAAAATTAGCGATGTCGGAGAAGTAGTTTTGGAGATACAATTTTTTTAAATAAAAAATTATTGTTCCGCAATATATGCACCACACGTGCATGGAAACGATGAAGACGCAAGGTAGTTCACAATGTGTCTCCATCGAGTCACAGCAGCTGTGACTAATGAAATCTATGAGTAACTTACAAGCTGGGTGCAACATTCAGTGCAATCTGCGGGCCGTCCATAAACCACGTAGACCAAGTTTTAAACATTGCAGATCCTACCTTTCCCTTCGTATACTCAAATTTTAAAGCGTTTCGTTTCAATACTCCTCCCATAGGGCCTTTTCCATGACAAGTTGCGAAAAAATGCCACACGGCAGCAATGCCAAAAATTTTTTGCATCTTGCATCAGTACCTAAGAGTCCAAGCTGTACCTCATAGGTATATCACTCGTTCGTAGGCAATGACTTTTACATAAGCTCCAGCCCAATAGGCTTCGCGGTGTTAGCGACATTTGGAAATGTTTGGTGGTGTTTGTAATTATTCGCAATATTCATCTATTTACCTGAAACAGCTGTTTGAAGTGACGTCATTGCTTACGAACAGGTGATATACCAATGAGTTACAGCTTAGACTCGTAGGTATATCACTCACTCGTAGGTACGATATAATGCTTCACATAAAACAACGAATGTTATGAAAGAAATGATCAGTTAGAAATCAAAGTTTCCTACTAGAACAGTTGAATTGAAGAATATCTAAAAATGAAACGTAAGTTTTCAATGTGTGATGTTTGGATGTTGAGTTTATGTGCCAGAAAAATCACCAATAAATTGTACGATTATGCAGTGGAAAAAAAGATTAAAATAGATGAGAGTAGCTCCTTCATTTGTCAACGATGCTACCACAAACTATATGAACCCAATGATGCCGTGACCGAAGAAGCCGTTGCAGGACCATCCAGAATCGCTGCTGCAGGTACGTTATTTGAAAATTCATGTGATTCTTCTTTAAATTTCAATTCTTTTCTTCTAACTACTAACTTAAATTCTTCTTTTTTGCAATCATTTTTCAGAGTCCATCGAAGCAACCAGCATTGAATCAATTTCCTTTGCGGGACCGTCCAGAATGGTTCCTTTTCCCTGCCAAGGTAAATAATAAAAAATAAATCATTTGTATGTTTTTTTTTTCTAATAATCAATCATTTTTTATATTTATTTTCAGAATCAGTGGAAACAACCAGTTCTGAATCGATCGTTACCACCTACAACGCACCTTTGTCGGACGGAAATGAATTCCTTGTACAACTTAAGGATAAATATAAAGAAACAATAGACAGCAATGAGCGATACAGGATTTTAACCACACTTCCCAAAAGTTGGTCTACATATAGAATTATGAAGGAGTTCAATGTTTCCCAACATATGGCCAACCAAGCAAAAGCACTGCAGCAACAGAAAGGAATAATGTCGGTGCCTGTAAATAGGTTAAGCAGAGCTTCATTAGGAGAACCAACGATAATGCTTGTTCGTGATTTTTACAATAGTGACGATATAAGTCGTGTTTGTCCGGGGAAAAGAGATTATTTAATATCTAAAAATGATGAAGGCGAAATCTACGTACAAAGAAGATTAGTTTTGTGTAACTTGCAGGAGGCGTACTCCATCTTCAAAAATACATATCCTGATATTAAAATAGGATTTTCCATGTTCGCCAGTAACCGTCCGAAACACTGCATTTTGGCAGGGACAAGTGGCACGCATACCGTATGCGTTTGTATATATCATCAGAACGTTAAACTTATTTTTAAAACACTACAAAGCAGACAATCACTCCCAGATGGTGTTGATTCCTATCACGATTTGTTTAAAAAAATAATTTGTCAAAATCCAAGTGAACAATGCTGGCTGCAGTGCTGCAAAAATTGTTCAGGAACGCAAATTTGTCCACAGAACTAATGACTATTCTTAGTAACGGACATGTTGAATCAATACAATTCAAACAATGGCGTCAAATAGAGAGATGCATTATGGACTTAGTTGAAATGGACACACAGGAATTTATTGATACTTTTTTAGAAAAATTATTCAATTTATTGCCGCATAACTTTATAGCTGAGCAACAGGCAAATTACATGAAACACGTCAAAAGCAATTTGAAAGCTACAGAATGCATCATAATCTGTGATTTTTCGGAGAATTATTCTTTCGTTGTGCAGGATGCATTTCAAGGCTTTCATTGGGCGAACGCCCAATGTACTATTCACCCTTGTGCTATTTATTTTAAAGACGAAGAATCTAACGATTTGAAATTTACTAATTGCTGATTTCACTAAACATAATCATGTCGCAGTTCGTTTATTTCTTACGCATTGTCTAGCGTTCATAAAATGTAAATTGCCAAGCTTACAACAGATTTACTTTTTCTCAGATGGATCAGGAAGCCAATATAAAAATAAGATGACCGCTTTTAATTTATGCAACATGCAAAAAGATTTTGGCATTGCTGCCGAGTGGAATTTTTTCGCAACTTGTCATGGAAAGGGCCCTTGTGATGCTTTGGGAGGAGTATTAAAACGAAACGCTGCGAAAGCGAGTTTGCAAGGCCACCATATAACAACGGCCCAAGAACTTTACTCATGGGCTATTTCTAAGCCAGATTCAAAAATACACTATCAGTTTTTTTCGGAATCCGATTACAATAAAATGGAAAGAAAATTGAAAAACCGTTATATACATGTGAACCAAATTTCGGGGACACAGTCATTCCATAGTTTTAAGCCTGAAAACAAAAAGTATATTATTGTCAAACGGTATTCATTTTCAACGGAAGAAAAATGTGTGAAATTGTAATTAAAGAAAATAAATGCTTCATGTTTTACTTATTTTTCATCGACCTCGTCATTATTTGTAGCATTTAAGTACTTCTCCCAGAATTTTGATACCAAAATTAATAATGTCAAACTGGGGCCTGTTTTAAAGCCACCAAGACTTCAATGGGGGAGGGGAGTCCAGCCACAGTATACGCTCGGTAAAAATATTTTAAAATTTTAGTAAAGTATGCAAGGGGGGAGGTAGGATCTGCAATGTTTAAAAATTGGTCTACGTGGTTTATGGACAGCCTCCAGGCTGAACTGAATGTTGCACCCAGCTTGTAAGTTACTCATAGATTTCATTAGTCACAGCTGCTGTGACTCGATGGAGACGCATTGTGAACTACCTTGCGTCTTCATCGTTTCCATGCACGTGTGGTGCATATATTGCGGAACAATAATTTTTTTATTTTAAAAAAATTGTATCTCCAAAACTGTTTCTTCGACATCGCTAATTTTTTGATATGTTATGTAAAATTAAATGATCTTTCAATTAAAAATACTAAAATAAAAAGTTGTTGAAGACCCTCGCAGTGAAAATCAAGAAAAAGCATTTATAACATATTTTTTTCCTACAAAATCAAATATCTCTGAGTGTTTCATATTTTTTCTTAAAACTACATTAAAATTTCTTTCATTTGAAGGGTCAATCGCAAAAATCGGTCAAGAGGTTCAGAAGTTATATATTTTTGAAAAAAGACATTTTTGAAAAAAAATGATTTTTTGGACCACCCTAACACGGAAATGGTCACCCTAATGGCGCAATAAAAAAAATACGAGTCTAATATTTTTTGATAAGGAAGAACTATACCAATTTTTATGAAATTCTGAGACCCACTATAACTTTTTTCTATGGAATTGCTGTATATGTATAAAACTACCCTAAAATTTTGGTTTGATTCTAAACATTATAAGAAAATTGGCATGACATTTTCGGTGTCGCAATAATTTCGTGTTCGCCCTTTAAAAGCATGAAACTTAAAAATTTCGTGCAACTTTTAGCGCTGTTCAAGCTCCTCCGGGCTAACCCTCAGCAGGGCCGTGAACAAGAAAGCTTTGATAAGGCACCTTCACCGGTTCCTCCTCGTCGTGATTGAACGATAATTTCCCACGCAAAAGTCACGAGTTCTAATTTCATCGCCGGGCAAGTCACGAATAACCCAAGAGTGTTAAAGTGACTATAATAAAAATAAAAAATAACTGCCGGAAGCAGGAAGCTGCAATGTGTATGCAGACGTTCTAAAAATCTACTTGATTGTACGATCCAAAGAGGACTGCCAGCATCTGCAGCGGTATCTCGATATCTGTGAAGACTGGTGTGACTGGAATGATGTGCTGTTAGATCTTTCACCTGTAATAAATCTCCAATTCGCTGGTCTTGAACGATCGGTGGTGTAGGCATCGAAAGAGTCTCAATCAGTGATAAGAAAAACTCAAAAACTCAATACTCATGCGTGAGTTTATTCGCCTATGAGTTTTGCCATGCAAAATTCAACTGCGCAAAAATCCCCGATGGGTTTTCAAGTTTAAAAAATATTTGCTTTATATTTTAGCGTTATCCATTGCTGTTGCTTTTGCATCAGTGAATGGAAAGCGAAAAAAAACGGGAAGGTACTGGGGGTAAATCCTAAATCTAAAATTGTGACCGTCACGAAAAGGTGTAAGGTTTTAAACGCTTATTACTGCTTCATTAATAGATGAAATTCAAATCCAAATACACCAATCGATAGGAAATAACTCTCAATTTTTTAAATAACTCGAAATAACTCTCCACAATAGATACTTTTCCAATTTTCCATAAAAAAACAGTTCAAAAATATACAAATAAAAAGGGATTATTTTATCACAATTTTCATGAACTAAGCGTTCTCCCCAAACCCAGTCATCAAAATCGAGTACCACTTGGTTGCACATCGTTCTGATTAAACCTGAAAAGTTATAAAACCACGCTGCTGTCATGGCTCAACTCATTTTCGCTTCGGACGGTGTGGGAGAAGGTAGCAACAGCAGCAGCAGTAGGAAGGCAGCGGTTCCTGTCAACCGCAGCGTTCACCAGTTTGAACCCCGAACCTTGCGTGACGGCGAGGACGAGATCACTGGATGCTGGCAGCGAGCCCTGTCGCCTCGATGGCGCAAGCACTCCGAAATGGATCAACCTCGCCTGAGTGATGTGATAACGATCCCGCGTTCCACAAATCTTGTTGGGCTGTGTCCCAGTTGGCGAGTTAAATTTAATTTGTGGTTAAAAGTAACATTCCGAAAGTTATTTTTAATGTTTGAAAAACCCGGTGATTTCGATCAATCAGTTTTCAAACAGAACTCAGCCACGGTTGCCAAAATTTAACTTCTAGTCGGTCAGAAATAACCACGCTCGGATAGCAGGGTTATTCGATAACTTTCCATCTATCAATTTTATCCACGAGTTAAATTTAACTAGCTAATGAGGACACAGGCTTGGAAGTAAAATAAGGGACGATCCATAAATAGCGTAGCACTTTTAGACCATTTAACCCCCCACACCTTGACAACAACTAAAAAAAAAACACTTTTTTTCCAGGATATTAGTGCAACAAGCTAAAATTAAATTAAAGTGGTTTTTTCTCGTACACTTTTAACCGTCCCCAGAGAGCCAAAAAAATTAAAGTTATGAGAGAAAATTCTATTTCGAGCTCAATCTCTCAACATGGCATTTTGATGACGCTCTATTTGTGATTTCCCTCTCACAGATTACAATATAGAGTACTTCACACTACTAAACATGTCTGGTACCTCTATGTATGGATTTAGATTACCATCCATTTACATATTTTGCACTAAAGATACTTTCTGCCCCACCCCATTTATAAAAACGGTGTAAAATCGTTTCGGGGGCGGGGCTTTTAAAGTAATTTTTGAGCAAAATATGTAAAAAAGGAGGGACTTCGGACGTTAATCTAAATGTAAATTAAAAGATACCAGACATGTTTTGCATTGCGCTGCCCTCTATGAACAATTAACGGAAAACAGATTATGCGTAGTTTCCGATAGATGTCACCACAAACAACAGCAGTGACATCTGATGGAAAATGAATGAATGAATTTTTTTAGCGTTCTGATGGTGAATCGCTGTGAAAACCTTATTTCTGATCAATCTCATTACTACATAACTTATTTATTTATTTATTTGTTCATTTAAGATTTGTGCTCTAGACATCTTGAAGTGATAGTGAATATCAGTCATCATGACGGCCATTGTTAGACGCTCTAAGAAATCACCTGAAGAAAGCCCTACCTTCATATCTGATTTTAATTTAAGAACCAAAAGGAGTTGAATATGTATTCGCATTTTTATAAGGCCCTGAATTTAACTAAATCAAACTTAGTAGGAAATCCAAAATATCTAAATCCAGAAAGTCTCTCTAATAAAGAAAAAAAAAATCTAAACACGACCGAAATCATAGGTTACTTCTGTTCAATATCTTGAAAAATGCACGAGACTTTCCACTAAACACCTTAACGTAGTCTACGTCAAACATGTGGTCGTGTCTTGTACACAACTCCAACATTTTTTTTTTAATTGAGGAAGTGTGAGCTCAATGAATGAGATTTCCAAACACTGATCAGAACTCACAAGCATCAAAGATCTAGAGGTGGAGCAAGATTCCCAAATAGCTTTTCGTAATCGTAGCTCGAACATCATCGCTAAGGCTCGATCCGGGTTAAAATCAGCATCTGTCGTGGAAGAAAGCTTTTGAATTGTCTATGTAGATGCATCGTTGTCTTTTTTAAAACAACCTATCCTTGAAAAAAGAAATTAATCTCCGATTAATTTTACTATGATATTTAGCTTCTTAGATTTATACGATCCTCAATTGCATGTGACCAGTATTCCCTTCTGCAAAATAAATACGTATTCCAGCACCCGTTTCAATTCACCAACGCAAACAAGACAACCAAACTTGTTGAAAGCGACGCCACACGTGTTTAACGAGATCACGCCATTTTCATATTACTCATCCCACCCTCTCGCGGTTCCACCGGCCATGACAGGCACCGGTGGAATAATTTTGCGAGTACTACAACCATCCCATCACCTTCGTGGTGGGTTCATAAATGCTGCCGACGACGACGTCGCGACGAGAAGAGTCAGAACGAGACTTCACCGTGTAAAAATTTATGTGACCAGCGTGATGATTGCTGCACAATAACCATACTATGCAATCAACAGGCAAGCTGGCTCTGGGAGCAGATGAAGGCGACCGATATCCAGGTGTGGGAAGATGGCGAAAGGAAGTCACGGTACATCATCAGTTACGGTGTGCCACTGATGGAGAGCATAAATTTCGCGTCTGTAAATAAATAAAGCGGCTATTATCGACGACAACTGTGTGGGTCGCTGAATGGGTTGTTGGGCTGGAAGAAATCTGTGATATTATTTTGCTAATGAATTAAATAGAATCGGGATGCCGTTAGACTTGGTTCGGCAAAAGTTTTAATCAAAAGCAATATCAAAATTCAGCATTTAGCTTAGCTGGTGACGAAATGTGACAAAGCTACTGATTCTTCCAAAACTTATTCGTGTTCTATGACTCACCTGGTTGACGGTGGGCGTCACTTGCTTAGCTCGTAGCAACTGATGAATAATTCATCTTTCCTTAACGATATCTCACAGTTTCCCGCAACGGAAGAGGAAAATTGATTCCTGAAACTTCATCCTCCTGCACAAGCCCAGCACCGGCGATGGCTGGGGGGTTCATAAATAAATAGTATTCAGATGAGTTGTAAAAGTCTAAGGTACGTCGACGACTATATTAATGCTTTCCCCGCAGAAAGTACACTGCTTAATAGTGTTTTATCCTTATCCTAAATTCTCTTCGCTGTCGGCTCAGTCGACAGCTTTCACCAACTCGCAGCACCAGCAAGAGCGTTGCTTAATTTATGAAAATTAATGGAAATTCTCCTTCCATGGAAGTTTCCTCTAAGACCCACGAAATTGTAATTATTATTATTATTATTGCTACCACGTCGTCAACACACTAAAAGCGACCAATTTTGCGAGCACAACGATTAGTTTACGCGCTGAGTCCTCCGGGGCCCGAGGGCCCATTCCAGGCATTGCAAGTAAACCTGCGAGTTGTCTTTCGTTTAGTTGGCACCGTTCTGACAAAATGGTGGATAATGATGAATGGCAATGGCAGTCTAATAATACTCTCAATGATGGAAAGGGGAATTCATAAAGATTAATTCTGCAAATTGCTTTTAAAACTACTAGCACCAAACGACGACCTTAACCTATCATCGTCATGAGGTTAAAGAAGTCCATGTGCGTTAATTTTTAGTATGATCATGATTCAAGGCATCTTTTTTTTTCAAAAATTGAGTGCTCATAGATTTAATTTTTATTCTGACGATAAAAGATTATTATAAGCGAAACCGATATTTTTCTCAATAAATTAAACTATTATGAGACCAAATATAGCTGAGCAATATGAATATTGATTATGTGGATTAAATAAATGCTACGTTCAAATGACAAGAAAATTATTTCTCTATCACAACATTTTTAATTGTAACTCTAATGCCGCAGATACACTTGTATCAGGGTGTCCATTCAAATTCCTTTCTTCAATTTCCGGGTTTTCTCGGTTATTTAAAAAAAAAATCTACTTTAAACAAAAAAGGCGTTCAAAAATAACCCTTTGGAGATAATGATAAAGTTTTGTCAGCACAATTCCTCTACAATATGCAGGGCTGGTAGTACAAACAGTACACAATAGTATTGGCTACAATAACGAAAAAAATGACCAAATAGTGACTAAGATATGGATCTAATCTGTCGTTAAATGCGACCTACTTTGAGAAATATTATAAATTCCCTAACCACCATGAGCATTTTACAAGCTTTTTCATATAAAACAAATGGTTGAAGGGTCTTATAAATTTGTTTTCGTAAAATCTGTATCAATTGGATAATCAATAGGTTAATTCCATTTCCTCACCCAGAACTAATTTTTCTGCCACAATTTTATGGAAACCAACCGTTGAATAAGTTGAATTTAGATTCAGATCATAAATTGGTTGAGTTTCGGGATGTGACAGATTGAACATAGAAATTTAT